GTGAGCCAAGTTTTTGACGGATGGGCAAGAGAGAGCAGCACGGCGAGATGGCCGAGCGGTCCAAGTCGCTGGTTTAAGGCACCAGTCCCTTCGAGGGCGTGGGTTCGAATCCCACTCTCGTCAGCGTTTTTGCTGAGTTTCGGCGTAAGCCATTTGTAGAAAGTCAGAAGGACATGCTGAAGTGTTGGCTTCAAGGACTTCTTCGTACATGAGAAAGGTTTTCCTCGGATGGGCAAGACAGTGCAGCACGGCGAGATGGCCGAACGGTCCAAGGCGCTGGTTTAAGGCACCAGTCCCTTCGAGGGCGTGGGTTCGAATCCCACTCTCGTCAGCGTTTTGCTGAGTTGCGGCGTGAGGCCATTTGTAGAAAGTCAGAAGGACATGCTGAAATGTTGGCTTCAGAGACTTCTCCCTAGGTGAGCCAGCTTTTTGACGGATGGGCAAGACAGAGCAGCACGGCGAGATGGCCGAGCGGTCCAAGGCGCTGGTTTAAGGCACCAGTCCCTTCGGGGGCGTGGGTTCGAATCCCACTCTCGTCAGCGTTTTTGCTGAGTTGCGGCGTGATGCCATTTGTAGAAAGTCAGAAGGACATGCTGAAATGTTGGCTTCAGAGACTTCTCCCTAGGTGAGCCAGGTTTTTGACGGATGGGCAAGACAGAGCAGCACGGCGAGATGGCCGAGCGGTCCAAGGCGCTGGTTTAAGGCACCAGTCCCTTCGGGGGCGTGGGTTCGAATCCCACTCTCGTCAGCGTTTTTGCTGAGTTTCGGCGTGAAGCCATTTGTAGAAAGTCAGAAGGACATGCTGAAATGTTGCCTGAGAAGACCTCTATATACATCAGCACCTTTTGGCCGGATGGGCGAAACAGAGAGTATGGCTCGATGGTGGGGCGATGGGTTCGAATCCCACTATAGTGGGCTGCTTTGCTAAAATGAGGCATGACTCCATTTCTAGAAAGTCAGAAGGACGTGCTGAAATGTTGTCTTCAGAGACTTCTCCCTGGGTGAGCCAGGATTTTGACGGATGGGCAAGACAGAGCAGCTCGGCGAGATGGCCGAGCGGTCCAAGTCGCTGGTTTAAGGCACCGGTCCCTTCGGGGGCGTGGGTTCGAATCGCACTCTCGTCAGCGTTTTTGCTGAGTTGCGGCGTGATTCCATTTCTAGAAAGTCAGAAGGACATGCTGAAATGTTGTCTTCAGAGACTTCTCCGTAGGTGAGCCAGGTTTTTTTCGAATAGGCAAGCCAGAGCAGCACTACGAGATGGGCGAGCGGTCCAAGTCGCTGGTTTAAGGCACCAGTCCCTTCGGGGGCGTGGGTTCGAATCCCACTCTCGTCAGCGTTTTCGCTGAGTTGCGGCGTGGTTCCATTCATCGACGATCAGAAGGACATGCTGAAATGTTGCCTGAGAAGACCTCTATATACATCAGCACCTTTTTGCCGGATGGGCGAAACAGAGAATATGGCTCGATGGTGGAGCGATGGGTTCGAATCCCACTATAGTGGGCTGCTTTGCTGAAATGAGGCATGCTTCCATTTCTAGAAAGTCAGAAGGACCTGCTGAAATGTTGTCTTCAGAGACTTCTCCCTTTGTGAGCCAGGATTTTGACGGATGGGCAAGACAGAGCACCACGGCGAGATGGTCGAGCGGTCCAAGGCGCTGGTTTAAGGCACCAGTCCCTTCGGGGGCGTGGGTTCGAATCCCACTCTCGTCAGCGTTTTTGCTGAGTTGCGGCATGATGCCATTTGTAGAAAGTCAGAAGGGCATGCTGAAATGTTGGCTTCAAGACTTCTTCGTACATGAGCCAGGTTTTCGTCGAGAGGCAAGAAAGAGCAGCACGGCGAGATGGTCGAGCCGTCCAAGGCGTTGGTTTAAGGCACCAGTCCCTTCGCGGGCGTGGGTACGAATCCCACTCTCGTCAGCAATTTTGCTGAGTTGCGGCATGATGCCATTTGTAGAAAGTCAGAAGGACATGATGAAATGTTGGCTTCAAGGACTTCTTCGTACATGAGAAAGGTTTTCCTCGGATGGGCAAGACAGAGCAGCACGACGAG